AACCGGAGGCAGGTTCAATCCTCGGATGTTGCAATACCAGGGGTTGAGTAAAACTAATAAATGTTCAGTCCAGTCTTCCTTGTCTTCTTCATTAAGGTTACCCCGCCTATAACATACTAGCTGCTTTTCGACTGCTGGCGGGGCCCGAGAGTGAGCCCCGAGGCACAGCCGGACGAGTGAGCGTCTCACTAACACCCTATGAAATGTTTTTGTCGGCAGGACCTCAGAATCAGAACACAAAAAGGCGAAAAAGGCAATTTGAATCTAAGATTTACCAAAGGCCTTTGATACACTGAACCGTGATGGACTGCGAAAAAGTATGCTGGAATTCAGAAGCCTAGAGCGTTTTATACAGGTGAGACGATAGCTCCACGACAGAATGGGGGCTGGCAGCACGGACAATGGAGCAATACCTGAAGCCTTCGCAGTGACAAATGAGGAGCAACAGGGCTTTATACTCGTTTTCACCCCGTTCAGTTTCGTTCGCTGCCCTGCTGATGGACGCGACTAGGAATCAACATCTACCAAACTGGCGGGCATACACTTGACTTTCGATGCATCTACGATCCGTGTTCCTGATCTCCTGCTCGCAGATGATTGCACACCCCACACCATGACGGGAGCGGGTATGCAAAGAGCATAGACCTTTTTGCTTCCGGTCTTGCGAACTTCAGACTAACCAGTAACACGTCATAGACGGTGGCTATGTGTCAACCGGTACTAACTGAAGAATACAATGCATCCAGAATCAACGTGAATGGAACTCGTCTGGCGGCTGTGGAAGAATTTGCCTACGTAGCAAATACATAGTAAGAAATATGAGTTCGGCTACGAAATTGCAAGTTGGCCGTACGAAGTCAGCCCACCCGAGAACATCTATTTAACGCGTCCTCACTTTAGCACGGTGTTTCAGTTTGCGTTTTTCCTGGTCAAACCTTTCTGAAACCACCACAACGGGGACGCTGCCAGAACACGAAGAGACACGATACTATCACCACGAGTAATGGAGACCGTCAGTGTTTCCAAAAAGAGACCAAACATTCCGATTACGCATATATCAGGCCAATCCCTCTAAGAATCCATCGTAGCAGGCCTGGAGAACCAGATTCTGGAATATCGGCCAGCACCTGCTACAAATGTCTTCGATCCACACTTTTCCTCCGCACAATCCACTACTGTAATGACCTGCTCGATCATATGCGCATACGCAATAGCAATTAACAAAATACCAACCATCATGTAAGCTCACACCGTTCAGCTACCACATAATATTCCGGTCCATTCATTACCCAGTGATCGACCCTATGGTGACTACTTTCAGTGGCAGTAATGACAGGTGAACTAATACATATTTGTGTGCGCGTGCGCATGGTACGCCGTGTTTCGAATCTTTATATAAAGCCAAAACATGATCTAATTTTATCACCATTCGGATAAAAAGTTTGTGTGGAAAACTTGCAAATGAAGAAAGGAGAGTGGGTCGTGCAAAGCCTTCTTCGTGGCAAATCAGCTCTATCCCCCGCTGCAAGAAATCTTACGCGTTTGAAGTTGTCAGGACACGCCAACAGACATGATTCGATATGTTGTCAAATGACTGTGCGATTTATTCTTCGTCGGAACTGAGGCTCAGAATAATGTTGATCCTTAATGTTAGACTTTAGCAGTAGCTTGTGTAAGCTCCGAGACATTCTGTAGAAGAAGTTAGACGCATGCATAGTTATGAATCTGGCCATAGGTTACACACGAAGAGGGTTTCTTTAGCTTTGCCAAGCATTGTGTCTACGTCCACGTGAGGTCACCTTGACTTACTTTTGCTACCAAATGGTGTAAGGTGGGAAGGGGAAATGTAACGGTCTAATCAGTGGGTTTATTCGGATCATTACACCCGTCAGGTCGAACCCCCAGGTTGAGGATAAAGGCAGAAGTCACCTGTGAAAGAGGTTTATAGTGTACAGAACTCCCTATTGCTATCCCAGGCGGCAGTGGCCACTGGCGAAGCCAGGGCTAGTGTTGACTGCGTCC